GTTAGGAACATGGTTAAGTTGAGGAAGATGTTAGGTGGTAGGATGGGAGATTGGGAGAGGGTCGTATTAAGTGGAAACGTTTTAGGGAAGGGGTGTATTTTGCAAAAAAAAATAGCGCAACGACAGGACGTGCCCTGAATGGCTCCTTCAGTGCAACCCCGTGAATGGCATCAGCAGACTCTTGAAACATTATCACTTTTCTTTTATTTCATAGAATGAACAGTTTGCCTCTTCTGCAATGCTAAGATGTCTGGGACCTCACGAGAGAAATCTGAGACTCATCAGATTCTGAAAAATTCCGTGAAAATGGCTAATAAATCATTTTGACGCAATTTCCTATGAAACGGAACACAGATGCCCGTTGAGGCTTTTTCTAGTAGGACGTACCAGCTGGTTCCCCATTAGTAGTGAAGTGCAGCCGTCGTACAAATTTAATGTTGAATTCTTTTTGCTTTTCGGATACTAAATGGTCGGTAATGTGATTGTAGGAGGCGGAGGTGGTAAAGTGGCGAGTGGCACGCTTACCATAGCGCCTGCATTCCGGGGCTCGGCTCCCGCCCAGGCCAAACAAACCTTCCAGCATTCAGGGACGGTGAATTGCCATCAGATTCCTTTGTCAGGATAAGAACACTGACTTGTACATCGACTGGTCCCTGCAAGTCAAACTATTTTTTTTATCCTCTAGGGTATGAGTGTGAAACAAAGAACAAGTGAACTGTAGTTGACCCCTAGGAAACTGCTTTTCGGGTAGCGTCTCAAAGATTCGTGCGATTTTCAGCCATGTGCCTTGGATGATATGCTTCGACCGGCTAAATTCGACTATATTCTCAGTTCACAGTATTTGATCGATCGACCTACACAAGAAATGCACGCATGGAATCCTGACGATCGGTAAGTACCTAGGATATGGGTCATCACTAAAGAGCTCTCTTTATCCCTGGAATCATCCACCTGTTTCAGATCGCTAAATATTTTCGTCAAAGATGATGACTGCTTCACATTTCATCGACATCCTGTAGCCCAAAGCACAGATTGTATACGAGGAAAGGTGAGGGTTGACTCCTAGTTTTTTGCTCTTGCCCTTGCGAGCCACCCAAGCTTTGCCATCAAAGTAGCTGGACGGGCCGGACAGCAGTTTGAGGTAATTCTGCTAGGCGCTTTTCTAAGCTGGTAAGCTTGGGGAGTCAGCATGAGCCTGGAGAATCGGAAGATGGGACGAACTTCATCCCTGAGTTTCCTGCTTTACCGTCTCTCCTAGTTCGATCTTAGTTAGACAATCGATTACGCTTATCAAGACCGTTTGCCCTCATCTGGGTTGAGGAATAATTTTGTTTGTTCTATTTGATGTTGATTTTATGATCAGTGCATATCTAAACAAATTCACCTTTTCTGTCATGCATATTGTCTGTAGCAGCTGAACAAATAGGTCTCCTACAAGAATTCTCCTGGCATGCATCTCTACTGCCATGAGAATGAGTGAAAGCGCTCATCATTTGTAGAATTCAAAAGAACGTAGGTATTTTCGCTGTTATGGTCGTGGCTAATATCACGCTTATCTCAATAACAGCAGGGCGTGTATGCGTCCCTGCAGTTTTAAGTGAAGTGTCGCGCTTCCGGCGGATATTTACGTCCATTCCAATTCACTTCGATTCAAGCATGCCTTTATACTAGCACAAGACAGATGACAGTTATCTCAATATGGGAGAATGTCGAAAAACGATGCCCTACGGCCACATAAAATGAAGTGAATAGTGCCATCCCCCCCCGCGACCTTCTTCAGCAATTTTTAACCGAGATTTGAGTGTAGACGATTCGTATCTCTTCCTTTCTCCACGATCTCTGAATTCCCCGTCGCATGATGATATCCATCGGCAGCGCGATATACTTTAGTAAGAGATAAAAGTAGTTTCACTTCAATACATGAATGATGGCTTTTTAATACGCATTCCACGGCAATCGGATGGGCGGAGTCTAACAGTCATTGTTGCCGTTATCATCATTGGTGGTCTTCATTCTGATATGGTACGTGTTGAAGTGGAAGCCCCAGCATGGAGAAGACTGTGTGTGAGTCTCGCGCTATTACGAATCAAGCGCGGAATGTGTCTTTAAGACTAAAGAAAATAAGAGATCTACCCCGCGTGGCCTCTAACATCCACTTCTCTCTTGCAGTATAATAAGGCTTTCTGAATTTCAGTCTTTCATGTATCCCCTGAACTTACCATCTGTTTAAGATGGGTTACTCGACCGGATTTCACGTGTGGCAATTGGAATGGCCTCCAACCGCCAAACGAGGACCGCACAATGCATTAAAGGTAGTAGGAGTGGCAACAAAAGCAGCCGCACTTCATGCAATGGGTTATACATCGTTGATAGGAACGAATACGGAAAGCTATGGTTGGGATCTGAGTAAGTCACCAATCATCCATTGAATTTTTTTTCGGATATTTCAGCATAGACAATCGTAATATGGTCGCGTGGTGGGAGCGAGTGGACGCCGCGGTCGGAAAGGCAAGTGTCCCCCACCTGTATTCGTCTAAGTACTGGAGGGCGATGAGAACAATTATTCTTCCCGTCCACAGTCTTGTTACCCGCCGTTAAAATGCACGTATTTCCTTACTCCCCCAGTCGGCAAAGAACCGCTTATCGAGAAAATTTGCACGCAATCGTCGCTGTTGACTGCCGCGCCTCGCGGATGACGAATCGAATTATGGTGTGCTTGTCCGTCTCCGTTTATTCTTCTCTGTCGTACACCTGGTGCTTTGTCCCTGTTCTGGCTTACCGAAGAAATTACTTTCGCCTGTTGACCTGCCTGGTTTTTCTGGTTTAACTGGCTATACACACCCCCCCCCTCCTCCGCCGGCGGTACTTTTTTGAATAAAGGGAAATTTTTTCGGTTAAAAACACCAAAGAAAAGGCAAATCGGCCAACGGGATTTGAACTTCCCTGGAATTTTTGAGAGGAGTCATATGTTGCATATTTTCTCCCCCAACAACAGGGCGTGATCTCAGGATACGCTGAGGGATACTTATTAGCCTAAGATTCTAGCGATTCTAGCGTACCCTCGAGATTCAAAGGAAATCCCTTTTCAGCTCGAGGTGAATGCCACCATGATTCCAAGAACTGCAGTCCATGGCAGTATCCAACTGGTGTTCCAATGCGACCCGACTATACTCCAATTCCTGATAAGGTCCGTTTGATACAAATTTTTAGACTCATTTTTTTGGACCATTTATTTGTCAAAATTTCAGTTCTACTGTATTTTGGACATGGATGACGGTTATATGGCATTCGCTACCGACCAGCACTATCTGGGTGTTGCATTCCGTAATCTTCAAGGGAAGACATTGTATCCAATCGTGTCGGCTGTATGGGGACATTGCGAGATTACCATGAAATATCTCGGAGGCATAGAACGTGAGCGACCACAATTTGAGCCTTTGCCTTTTTCACCGATTCTTCCGCGCCAATCCTTCTTGGGAGATGTTCTCACCAGATACGGAGAACGTGCCTGAGAAAGCTCTGATTGGCGAAAAGTCTCAAAATCTAGGAATACCGTTTGATCCTCGAGCACCGCCCAGTGTACTTTTGCCTCCACCCACAGCGCTATGACGATTCATCCGTCGTTTATCGCACATTAGGCACCCCCCTGAGGAGGGGATCATATCTGGTCGATGGAGGGAAGGGGACCTTAACCGAAAGAAATACTTTCGCCTGTTGACTTTTCTTGGTTTTTCTGGTTTAACTGGCTGGCGCTATACACCCCCCCGACGGTACTTTTTTGGATAAATTGGAGAATTTTTCGGTAAAACAAAGAAGAAGGGAATCGCGCCAGGGATTTGAATTTTCCCTGGAATTTTTGAGAGGAGTCATATGTTGCATATTTTCTCCCCCAACAACAGGGCGTGATCTCAGGATACGCTGAGGGATACTTATTAGCCTAGATTCTAGCGATTCTAGCGTACCCTCGAGATTCAAAGGAAATCCCTTTTCAGCTCGAGGTGAATGCCACCATGATTCCAAGAACTGCAGTCCATGGCAGTATCCAACTGGTGTTCCAATGCGACCCGACTATACTCCAATTCCTGATAAGGTCCGTTGGATACAATTATTTGAGACTCCTTCTTTCGACCTTTTATTTTTCGATTTATTTCAGTTCTACTGTATTTTGGACATGGATGACGGTTATATGGCATTCGCTACCGACCAGCACTATCTGGGTGTTGCATTCCGTAATCTTCAAGGGAAGACATTGTATCCAATCGTGTCGGCTGTATGGGGACATTGCGAGATTACCATGAAATATCTCGGAGGCATAGAACGTGAGCGACCACAATTTGAGCCTTTGCCTTTTTCACCGATTCTTCGCGCCAATCCTTCTTGGGAGATGTTCTCACCAGATACGGAGAACGTGCCTGAGAAAGCTCTGATTGGCGAAAAGTCTCAAAATCTAGGAATACCGTTTGATCCTCGAGCACCGCCCAGTGTACTTTTGCCTCCACCCACGCGTATGCGCTTTCATCCGTCATCGCAATATGTACCCATCATTGAGTACAAATACCTTTGGCCTACAGTATTCGATGACTGAATACAGTTGGGTTCTCTTTGGATGAAGGGGCGTTCTTACGTCCACGCTGGCGAGCGGCCCGACGGCTGCGTGTCGGTGGAAAGGCGGGTACCTGCGGTGACCATCATCACTGCCTCTGCCCCCTCTGACATCGTCTCTGCGCTGATACACATATCGGCGCACTATCTACTCTTTCGTGGACTCCCGCCGATAAAGGCTGACGCGCCCAGTCAGCTCATTTCTGCTGTATTTAGCTTATAGAAGCTGTATTTCTTTCGTTCTGCTTTATCGAGAAATGTGACTACGTTCACTGAAGCTATGTTTTATTTTGCATGATTCTTGCATAATTTTGTCTTCAAAAATTCATTTCTTCTCATGTTGTCGACTTTTTGAATTTTCCAATGCCTTCATTCATTTTCAATGCAGCTAACTAGAATCATGCAGAAAAATCTAGTTTCGGTGAAACATGGTCACCTCTTCTCAATGAAGTCCAAAAATCAGCTCACTCAGCCATTATCGATCGGCGAGAGTCCAGACGTAAGAGTGAGTAGAAAGTGGGCCCGTGTGGGTATGAGCGCAGATTCGATGACAGTGAGCGCAGAGAGAGCCATTCACCGAACGCAGCCGTCGGACGGCTTGCCAGCGTAGACGTAGGAACGCCCCTTCCTCCAAAGAGAACGAGACAGTAGTAAATGATAGCTCAGGCGTAGCCTAGCAAAATTAGAGGTGTCTTAATCCGAGCAGATTTCGGGTTCAAGCTTTTGTCATTGTTGTCTTGCGCTGGTTTGTGCTGATGTGATTGTGGTGCTTTTCAGCTGCTCCCCGACCTCTGATGGATATTTGTCGACGGGCGATTCGTGTCGAAATGGGACGTCATCGACTTCATCGAGTCGACGAGTTGCGACTACCACCACCGTTGAAGCGATTCATACTGTATCGAAAATAGCGCCGACTACCGTCTACTGCTCTGCCATCTTCACCTCTACGGGTCTGCCTCACACATGCCCTTTTCCCCGTCATGTCATCATCGCTTTTAGCCCGTCATCCTTAGGACATACTCCAATCGCCTTCATACCGTGCTCATACGTTGCGTGTTCGCCCGAAATCTGCTGCTATCCGTTGGGTAAATGGACTTTCTTTTTCGCTTTGAGGCCGTGGCGCTACTATTTTCACACGATTTTTTTCCATTTAAATTTCATTTTCACAAATATTACTCACACTGTAAATAATGCATATAGGTTTTACTGTGGTATTTTTTATAACAATAAGAAGATATGGTTGATATCATTGCTTTATGTCTGATGTTGTCACTTCTTTACCGGACATGCGCGCCATTCGAAGTCTTTTGTTGGCCGACTTTCAATCCACACCTCGGTGACTATTATTGTCCCTTGTCGTTCATCTGATACTCACTCGTTTGCCGTAATCCGTTCGTATCATAATCTGGTAGTCTTTACCCTTATTTCATAATATAGACTAATTTCCCCTGGGATATGTCCGCGCCCGAAGTGCTCCCCATCTCATCCCTTCAAGCCCCCCCCCCTCCATCTTCCAAATCTTATTGCTCCTGTTTCCGTTTTATGCCTTTCGTTGCCACAAATTTGTGTATAGGTATATGAGATTTGTGCATTTCCCCTACCTATCCACGTTCACTTTCGATCATTCTCACTTCAATGTTGTGTCCTCAGCGCTATCATCCCCTCATCTGCTTGTGTTTAGGCCAACTGTGCCCTGTTTAATGGCTAATGTTTTCCAGTTCAATGTATGTGTTTATTTTTTGTTTTATTTCAAGACTTCATTGCGTAAAGACCGGTGACACTATAGTTCTGCATTGTCAGATTTCTGTGAATCGACAATAAATATGTTTTAAACGCCATTCTTTCCCTGTCTTCTGAATGATCACTGAAGATCACTTGACGCAATCATCTGCTGTGCAGCAGAGGCATGGACAAGAAAAAAAGACAGGACGGAAAAATGCGTGAAAAGGGTGCTAGACGCTTGTGACGGCGGTAAGTCCCCGCCCACTGCTTCAACCTACACCCTACGTTTATCTCAAGGCTCCATTGATGC